TGTATTATGTGGATATCCAGGTGGTTTAAGCTATGTTCTTTACAGTTTTAAGCTTAGGCATTATGGTACAGCGCGGTTGAATGAAAAGTGAGAAATCAACAATGCTTTTGTTCCGAATATGTTTTTGATGGCTGGTGCGTTTACAATTATATTTGAAATAGATCATAGTTTTATTTGGGTTCAATAAGCCAATCTCGTCGTTTGTTTTTAAGGTGAAATGACGTAAGTCACGTAAGGCACCCATTGAGTTGGGTACCATGATCCATTTGATTGTGGAAGCATGACGCTATTGTTTCTTGGAGCAAGTTTATGTGGACATAGTAACTGTAGCTCAAAGGGATTGAATTTTTTAGTGAAATTTATAAATTTTGTAGCCAGTGAGATACGTAAAATATTCCTATAATTTGATGATACAAAAATATGATCTTGGTAGGACGTGCCTTATCGTTGTTGGATTATGTTGATTTGATTAATGTAAAAATAATACAATAATAATAATAAAGATAATGTCTAGATATTTACTGCACCTGCATTGAGTTTTGTTTGTGTTTATCCATTGCTTCGATTTAATGCACACAAATTTTAATCCAACAAAATACTAAGGGTCTAAGAAACAATCAAATTTGCTATTTTTAAATTGGAAGCATTTACTTTTAACCTGGTCGTCCAGTGTTCGAAAACTCGACCAAACATATTACAGGATTAACATAATGATAAACTTATTACATGACCATTAATTACATGATGTTATAAGAACATGACGTATCATGTTTTTTTATAACAATTGAGGCATAGTATATTACGTTACTAGTCCTGAAAATAGGTAATAACCGGACGAATGTGGTCGTTCCCGTTCGAGACGAAGTAGAGTGCGGGATTGAGAGTCCGTTAAACACATTTTGGACGAGTGACGTACGATATTTTACGCAATACTACTCTAAACTAACATAACATCAAATACTCATAACATATTAGAGAGGTTATGTTTTTGTTCATAACCACTCTTTGCAAATTTAACCAGCTGGTTGGTGTGCGGTAAAAACTCATTACGGTACAGTACTACGTAATGAAACCCCATTTGATTAAGCTGTTGGCAAACAGCTGTTTTCAGTACTAAGTCCTTGTGTAGAAAATCCCTTAAAACAGTGTAGAGTGGAGTAAAATAATTTTCTACAGTAAAATGTTCCACACTTATTAAGTCCATCCCATTTCATCACAGTTAAAATCTTCCTGTAAAAAAAACCTTTATGATGGAGTTTTACAATACGCAAGTATTGATATTATAACAAAATCACACAGGACTATTTCTCTTAATTGGAAACCTTCTGTAACTCCACTTAAAAGTAATAAGTTCTGTTATTTCTGTTGATAATAAAAAACCTCTTTCACGTTTTGATCAAGGCTTTAGTGAGTGCATATTTGATGCTTCCAAAGGAATGTAATGTGAAACGCCATAAGGAAAACTACCACTGAAATCACACTGGTTCTACCACGGATAAGTACATTGCCTACGGTTGTACACACACAGAGCACTAATAGAGTCCCATAACAACACATACACTAGGGCTAATATTATGCATCCAAGCGAATTGTTGTAACTTAATGAGTGGATTTATGATTAAATCAAATTTAATTATATAAATGCCTAACAATGTTGTAATTGGCAACAATAATGTTATAAGAAGTTATAGATTACTATAAAACTCTAAATTCAGTCCCCAAAATATCCAATAACCGGATGACCACAAAAAGTAATTTAACTTAGTTTGAATTCGGTTTAAAATCTTCATTCTGGATTATAGTGGTATTATTATTATCATTTGTTATATTGGTCCAGATAAAATCTAAACCCTGTGAAAAACCGTTAAGAAAAATGTTACGTCGGTTTAATCCATATGAAGAAAAATTTTTATACAATACTTTACTTTAATATTTTATTCTTTACTTAAATTTACAAATACACAATACACACGTTAGGAGAAAGTCATAAAAACATGTAAAGTTAGCATAAACCATATTTTTAAATATAAAAAATATGGTTGTAATTTGATTTAATTGAAAAATCCAACCCAATTCAATTAAATTGTAATTGAATTGAACCCGATTGAACCCAATTCAATTGTAATTGAAAAATATGGTTGAAAAATATGATTAGGTTTTATTACAACTATTTAGCCCTCGGGTGTATTGTTAATAACTAACAATTTTTTATTATTAAGTTAGCAAAAAAGTTTTATTTTATTTTTTCTTAATCATAAGAACATTAAAATGAAAACAAAGTAATTTCGCAGATCCTTAAGATTTTCTTTTATTATATTAGTATCTAATGGTTCTTAAGGTCATATAAATTACGTAATTTTGAACTGAAACTTCATAATTATAGTTACTAATTTTCTCGCAGCCACACACAACATTATAATATAGGATAAATCGTGTTGATGGAAGGGACATGTGAACAAAAAGCCCATGTTTCTTTATCCGAAAACTGGGAAGTATTATGTTTACTTGGTTGTGATATAACCTTTCGAGCATACTATAAATGATTACGCTGGAGTAGTAATTTCGGATGCACATAATTTACACGCCATACTAACTTATTGGCGTATTAATGTTTCAATAAGACTTGGCTGGGGATACGCACCATGAGCCTTCATAAGTTATGTTTACCAGGAGTACATTATTGATCGGATATTTGAATGGAAATAAGAAAGATGCAAAAAACTAATTGGGATAAAGCGTAGTTATTGTTTTATTTCAGTAGCTATCTGTAACTGTCAGAGTTTTTTCTTTATTGTTTCCCTCTTTTATAATCACAGGATCAACTGATTAATTTTGACATATGTAACTCTCAATTGAGTAAAAAAATTGGGTTAATGTTTTTTTAACAAAGTTTCCTAGTCAACGTTTTGTTAAAATACTCCCCATAAAAGTTCAATATCTCAATTCGGTGCTTTAGTTACTTTTCATGGATAGTTATTGTCACCATCTATATATGATCTCTATATATAATTACTAGTGAAAGTGGTAGATAGTATTTTGTCCTATAGAGTCGGCTGACATTAAGTGGGCGTTGATTTCGTACACTATGCCTCTTTCACAGGGGGGTTCCCTGCGAATATAGGAAAGGGGACAACTTACCTTCGTTCATCCACGCCTAAAATAATTAAACAGTGTTAACGATTCCAAAGCCTGCCAAGGAGAAATCGTTAGCCTACTCGGTGATAAATAGGTCTTTGCGAACTGGATTTGATTTTGCTATGTTGGCAGTTCCAGTGAGTGCACGAGATGCAGACCAACGTGCAGATTCATGGAGGGGGGAGAGGCATGCGGTCTTCACCCATAGAGCGGTCATCCGATCACAACTATAGCACATACAATACTGTTAAGGTAGGTCACTTAAGAATTTCATGATTGGTTAGTATTTTTTGTTATACTATTAAGTTCCTTATAGACTAGAAAATGTATAGATTTTACCATTTTGAGGTACCATAAATGAAATACACATTTAATATTGGATGTTGTGCTTTAAGTAATCTATGCGAGAGGTTGCTCCTCCAAGGATAAACAACTACTGTAAAACGTTTTAGCAAATTGGGATTGAATTGTATGTTTTGATTCAACATAAAAAAGTAAATGTGATGTCAACCAATAATTATTTTTACTCCATGAACGTAACAACCAAAAACAGATTCAAACAACATTCTTGTCATATGTGCTTTCGATGTGGCAATCACGTAATATAAAAATTGAATATAATATCCCCTCCGTCTGATATATTGAATCAACTTATATAACCCCACAGGAGATGTCCACGTCAACCTTAACTCATAACTGTCTACCATTTATTGACAAGACACACGAGCTTTGGTATTTTAACTCAATTAATGCATGAATAAGATATTTAATGTGTTTTTATTTTGTGGTTCATAACCGTATGTACAAACTTTGATGTAGCTATAGTAATTTAAGTAATTGGTTGGCTCAGTATAGCCCTTTAATTAGCTACCTTGAGGAAGCTGTACGTTTTTGGAGTTCCGCGAAACGTCGCATTTTCATTCCATGGACACTTATTACGTGTAAGGTATATGTGTGTGTGTGTGTGTTTATAACGAGTCCATGGACATTACTCGTAAAGACACATTACACGTACATTAGACGTAAAGGTGAGTGAAACCTACAAACAATCTTCATAAATGTATAGAACTACACCTCGCCAAAAAGCATGTAATAAAAAAATGTACAGACTGAATGTGATAAGCATTAATATTTATATCAAAAATATAAATATTCAAATATGATGATGATATTCTGTAAATATATTTACCTTCATTTTACTAATCATTGTTGGATTGTTCTTTTGAAGTACGAGGAACATAAAGTCATTGTAGGTATGGCCTAAAAATCTGGATATACTACAGTATTTAAAATAATTATTTTTACCAGCTCCTAAGAATTCAGCCCCTTCTTCAAGAATAGTTTTAGAGGCTAGTGTCACAGAAAACATACTAGTAGTATGTTTTCTGTGCTAGAGTGTTTTCACCGTGCCAGCAAGGGCAGCAATCAAATGTAGTATGACCCTCGTTAAGATGATTTCAAACACTGCCTTGTCCCAGGCAGGAAGGAGCCAAAGACAATCTACAATTTCGTTACCTCCACTAACTCCCAAGGCTTTATTCAATGAATACCAATTATTCTAAGTTTTAAAATACATCCATTTGCAATATTTTATTATAATGTCATCAACCCTAAATCGGATCACAATTTGATCTCTAGTGCAGACTGTATCACAACGAGACATGTTATAGACAATGTTTACTTTTCCCACTAAGTGGTGGAGAAAACTGACTCTGCAATTACCAGTTTATCGTTAGACTTTAACACAGGGTAAGAATCTATGGACAACAACATGTCCCCCTTGGCACTTTCTCACCACCCCACTAGGTTTAACTTTTACACACCTGGGCCAGCGAACCAAAGGCGAGTTATAAATGCACAACAAGACAGCTGCAACCATTTAATCAGTTTAAAAATAAACTTTTAAAAATATTAACAGAGGTTATGGTACTTTTCATTTCCTTCGTCGAATATCGATCTTATCTTCCTTTGGAACAGTGGTTTCTTGGTTCTTGTTTACAGATTTTTCTTCACTTACTGACTTAGCTGATGTTTTATCCTCTTCTTCATCTGATAAATCTGCCCTGTCATCTTTACTATCTGCACTATTAGTCATGGCGTTGCCTCCATCAGTAGTTTTATTGTCATTGATTTCTGCGGTGTTACTGACACTGGTCTGTTTGTCTCCATTAGTTGATTGTTGATTCTGCCCGGATCCTTGATTGTTTTTCGCAGGAGTGCTTTCTGGCTCCTGTTCTGTTAAACCACCATCCTCCTGATCTTTTGACGGTTGTTTATTTTCCGCGGCATTTTCTTTATCATCTTCATCATCTCCATCTTCGGAATCATCGTTATCATCGTCCTCGTCTTCGTGATCGATACTTTTATTCTCGCCTAGAATCTCATCCGTGGCGTAATTTATCAGCTGATTCACAAGGTCTTTGGCTTTTTCGATTTCATGTGGCAACATATCTTTAGCCACGCCATACCCTTGGCCTGCAGCGGAAAGAAGAGTACCCATTGCATCTTTGACAATTTCAGCAGACTGGAGTATTTCTTTTTTGCTCAATTGCAAATTTCCCATTTTATCTTCGGCACTTTTTTTCAAAGCCTTTATTGATTTCTCTATCTCACTATTTGACAGTGTCCCATCATCCCCCCTGGTTAATTCCTTCAATATTTGCAGCGGACTAGGTGTTTTGACACTGTCTGTGCCTGATGCAGATCCAGGGCCAACCACACGATCAAGCAACGTGTCCATTATGGTTTTTGGTTCCACATGATCTTTTTGAGTCCCAGAAGTAGTTATTTCCTTATTATTCTCAAGTGAGTTCTTTGTAAGTTTATTTAAGAAACTATCACCCCCTTCTTTTAATTTTAACGCAGCACCTTTAGCAGCATCCCCAGCAACACTCAACGCACCCTTTACATTTCCAATCGCATCTACTCCAGTAGCGGCAATGTCTCTACCCAACTGAGAGTGAGCTATTTCGATTCCTTTAGCCTGTAGTTCTTCTAGTTTGTCAGCTAACAGGTCTCCATAAACTTGAAGAGTCTTCTTCTTTGTACCGTCTTCGGTTCCATCTTCGTCATCAGAAATCGACACTGACTCTGCGTTTTCTAGTAGTTTATCGAGTTCTTCTTTGGTCAACACTTTTGATTCACCACTCTTGCCTTTATTCACCAGCCTATGAATGAAGTCTGTTCCAGTTTCTCCCATATTGATTAATTTCTCTCCTATCAGCTCTACTCCACTCATCCACTTTTCAAGTTCCCTCTTGCTGCCTCCTGTCGTTTCAGAACTTTTACACACAGACCTTTCAAACTCTGGTGGAGTTTTAATCTCGGTGCCTCTAGATTTATACAGTATCGGAAAGAACTCTGGAAATTGTTCTCTGGGGAGTCCATGCTTATCCATGAAATCTGCTTTCATGCAGTAGAGTTCAGTCAGACATTTTTCATGTTTTGGTTCACCAATTTCATCTTCCGGATGTTTAAATGTATACAACGCGAGCTCCTCACACTCTATTTGCTTGTCGACGATCTCTTGGCCTTCTTCGCTATGAAGATCAAATAGTTTATATATTGGACTTATCTTCTCACCCACCTCTTTAATGTACTTAGACATGATTTTCTTTGCTGAGTCCATTGTCAACACCTCAATATTTTTCGGTGGAGGTTTCTTCACGAACTTTTCTCCTTCGCTGGTTTCGACCGCAAACGTATCAGGGTACCAGCTTAGGTCCATCTTGTTCTCTTCTATGTATTTCAGCTTGTCTTCATTTAAGCTCTCCGAACAAATTAAGTAGAGATCTACGTACTGAGCTGTCTCTTCATGGTAGTTGCCTGTGGTCCAGTTCTCGTTTATCTTCAAGATCCGGTCACATTCTTTCTCCGTGGCGATGATGCGGTCCCCCAACTGAAGGTCGGAGGCTGTCACCAGCTCTACGGCGACCTGAAGTAAAAATAAATAAGATTGTGTTATAATTCATTTCTGATATGTATATGTTAATTCAGTTTTAGGCGTGTTCATAGTTTAGAAAATATTAAAGGATTTCATTAACGGTACACTCTGGTGCACAAGGAGGTCTAGTTCTTCTATCTTCATAATCCTCTTGAGTCTAAGACTTCTTAAAACAACAACAAAAACGAGCGTATTGGTATAAAATCAATTTTTAATTTATATTTTTTTTACTTTATACATAGTTAGTAGTCGGAAAAAGTATTGTTTTTGTAAAAAAAATCGAGTTTGAGTTTTGAATGGGCATATTCGTTTTTGGTCCCCCAGAACCCAAACATATGGTTTTCGAAGTGATATCTGTGTGTCTGTCCGTGTGTGTGTCTGTATGTGTGGATTTGTACAGAGAAACAGACCTAACACGTATGTTATACGGTTTTTGATGACTTTTGGTATGTGTGGTATGGAGATACCATAGCTAAACGTATTTCGGCTGCACTTTACTTTAGGTCCTACACTCATTCGAATGAAAATATCGATTATTCGATTGTTTCATTCGATATATCGTTTGGTCAGTTAGGTTAGGTTAACCTTACCTAACTAACCAAACGATATATCGAATGAAACAATTGATTAATCGATATATCGATCGATATTTTCAATCGAATGAGTGTAGGACCTAAAGTAAAGTGCAGCCCGTATTTATATTAGTATTAAAGTATTTCATTATTTCTTTTAGTACTAACAGTTGTTTCTTTGGTGGAATACAATTCATTAAACCCAATTTCAAATGGCAGCCAACTGAGTCAAAGATAGGAGCCGATTAAATATTGAAATTGCAATTTCAAGAAATCTTTCAATGGCTGCCATTTTTGATTCGGTTGTCCGTTTAAGTTCGGGTTTGCGGCATTATGGCCTATTTTATGAACAAAGACGTGTAATATTATATGCATATCAACATCAACATATGCTTACCTTAAGACTCCTAGTGGGCCACCCCCTGAGAAGGTGTATTACGGAATAATGTTTTAAAATTATTACTATGTCCAATCAATTTGTTTCAAATTTTGTAGCTCTATATTTATTATTTTCTGAAACATTTAACTACCCCGGGACTTTCAAAATGTTAAAACTGGTTAACAAAAATCCATTTCTAAGCTTTTGTTAAGTTTCTCTATAACTATTCACCTAAAAAAAAATATGAAAAGGACTATTCATGTTTGAAATATATCGTAAGTAATTATTGTTGTACATAATGTATTTTGAGCCACAAGATTTTCAACATAATCACTATTAACGAAAAAACAGCCATTTTTAAACATTAACCCCACTTCCCCCCAAATCCAACGTTTAGTTTTTTTTTCTTCTTATTGCACCGTACTATTTGGATTCTTCTTCATAATTTGACAAACAACTTAACTATTCACATTTATTAAGTTGTGAGAACTGTCGGTATCTGGAATAGTAATATGAATGGTAACGTAATTATATATTGTCTAATATTTTTTCTAGTGTCAGTGTTTAGTTTACTATCAGTTATCAGATTATTTACAATTATAAATTGGGATGTTTATTTGCTGTTATTTGCAGTAAAATGCTTTTTAAAATACATGAATTTATTTAAATGTGGATTTAATAATTTATTTTACTAAGTGCTTTTACGGCGAATAAATGTCAAATAAATATGTCCATGTGTGTTCATCAAATAAATTCATCAAAAAAATACTTTTTGAATGAAATTCACATGTAAATTGCTTAACGTTTCATCTAAGGGGAAACAAGTTACGCTATATGTTAAACATATATTTTAGGGTTTCCAAAGGTGTATGTTCAAATATTTTATATGAAACTCATGTACCATTAGTCGGAGAGAAGTGTAATTATTTTAATAACTCCACCACCTGTCGCTAGTTACCAAACATGTTGACGCAACCATGTTGCAAATTCATCGCAATCCGATGAAAATTGCTATGAATATTCATATCTTACAAAACCCTTTACTTAATGTTATTTCGGCCTTTGACCTTTGTTTCACCGTTTTGATTTCATTACTGACACACTTGTTTATACTCACTTCCAGAACAAATATTCATTTGATAAGGGGGTTATTTAAAGTCAGGGAAAGTAATTTTTGACTTTGATAGGATGTTATATATCTAAAAGTTTAATACACCACTAAACACTTTTGTAATTTTTTAAGGTGAATAAATAGGTAAATGTTAATGGTATTACTATTACATAGCTTATTTCATAGAGTTTGGCATATTTTAAGATATATTTGACATATTTTTAGCTTCAATAATTCTGTAGGTTAAATGTAGCAATATAAAAATTGATTTTACGAAAAAAATATATGTTCTTCATTATTAGTTGACGATAAGGAGTGTCTTTAGAACTATAAAATATTCACAATAGGCTATTCAACAAAACTACTAATGCTATAGTATAGTATGCTATAGGCTATAGTAATAATGTTCAAGGCTTCTACCTTCTTAATAAGCCAAATCAAATTGTAAAAACGTATTTAGGCTATTTTCAATCATTAGAACATTCCTTCATTTAATTAGCTTCCTTGCTTTTCAATTATGCATGAAACTAGATTCGAGGATAGAATAAATTAACATACACTCTAGGTGAATCAAAATACTTAATAAAACAAGGAGAAAAGTAAGGAGTTCTAGTTAGTCTTGTACCTGTTTGGCTATATAAAATATGCTTTTGGTCTGTATTAAAACTAAATAATGGTTTGTAAAAATTCCAGCTTCCAAACTTGATTGACATTACAGTTCTGTACTTTGATGGACCTAATAGGTCTTTGATATTTTGATGACGCTAACATATATTTTAAATATTAGATTGGTAAAGGTAAACAGTTTAAAATATTTACGCACAATATTTTCAGATAATATTTTTATTAGCTTCATCATATACATTTTTTTTCCAAAATCGTTGAAAAGTGGTTATACGATTTTTATTTTTTTGCACATGCCTTTTTTTCTAAGCCTAACCAACTTAAAACGATTTATCAATGGAATTAATTTAGTTAATTTAACTAATTTAATTATTATTTAGTTACTTATAGAACTAAAAAAATAATTAGTTTATTTGCAGTGTATTAAAGGGTAACTTCTACTCCAGGATGGAAGTTGTTCAAACCTATGTGACACCCAATTGAGCTGCATTTTAAAATTTTCAGTCGAACAAATAAACCGAACTATATCTTGTAAGTAGATTATTTCCATTACTTCACATGTTAATGTAAGACTAAATTACTTACGTAATTGCCGTCACAGCTCAATAAAATATGTCTATTCAGGACATGTTTCGGTGTTAAAACACCATCGTCAGCATAAATTGTAACACCGAAACATGTCCTGAATAGACATATTTTATTGAGCTGTGACGGGAATTACGTAAGTAATTTGGTCATACATTATGTCCAACAGCTCAGGGGCTACACACATGGATTTAAATTGTTCACATGTTAGTATTTATAGCTGGTAACGTGTTAGAAGAAACTATATTGTCAGAACACCATAAGCCAAATTATATTACCACAAAGATATAATACAACCATTTAAATTATTTCTTCAGATATATCCCTTAGTTAAGTCAATTTGAAATCCATGAGGATCGGCGATCCTTAATATTGTCCTATATTGAATCCATTTTGTCTCTCCAGACTGAAGTGATCTTATACCAACTTTGAATTGTAACCAAGTCATTGTTTTGTCAAGGATTGGACCGAGGTGAACATAGTGCCGTTGATTTTATGTTAAAAGTCCCAATTTACATCTTTAAATTTATTTATTTACCATTCATTTTAACATTTTATAAGTAAATTAAACCATACAAAAACCTAAAATTGTAACCATACAAATACATGGAGCATGAACATTTAATGGGAAAAACCCGATCAAAGTCACATTATATACGTAAACTGAAATCTGTATACCATTTTTAAACTTTTGAAAAAATAAATTCTATTTCCTTATCAACAGTTTTATAGCCTGCGTGTTTGGGTAATAGACAATAATTTTACGACCTAAATAAAAGACAAATATTTTACAAACTATTGAGTGCACATTTTAAAAACTATAATACGATGTTAGGCAACGTCATCAACCAAAAAATCCAATTTTCAATGTGTTAAATTCTGTTTTAATATTTTTTAATGCTTTGAGTTTTACTTATTTTAACGTTTTAAATAATTAAGTTTATTTAAAACCTTAAATTTTAGATTTTTCAAGATAGGCCTACATACTTAACTATTTTAAGGTGAATTAAAAAATATATAATATCTTACCAGTAAAACTAGCCACATCATTTTATGTAGTTTTCACTGCACGATATGTGTTGTTGTAGTCAGTAGCTTACACAAGTGTTCACTGGCAGATGGCTTATGAGCATTATTAATGGTGACTAAAGCCCCCACCATTAACCTTCCACTGATCATATTTCACTGATCGGTCATATCGAGCTTATGGTCGATCAATTAAAGTTATAGCCATAAATTATATCATTTATAACTTTTATAAATATAAAAAATTATACTTGAAACGATTCCGTAAAAAGTTGATATTAAAATAGAAATAAGAGATTAATGTTAATTAATTATTTAATGACTTGCAGTTTGGGGCTCTTTAAGAGAGAGAAATTCATCCTTGCACGAGAAAACTATTCGTCCACGAGTTGTTCTTGTCCATATGAAGCTTTTGGGCATTGAAGGTTGGCCTTAACGTAGTGTCCGAAACTCTGGGAACACAATTTTTTTTACTTAGTTTAAATCCGTTGGTGACTGCATGGGTTTTAACCCAGGTTTCCAGTGCAGAAGGTCCATGCATTAACTTGTAAAGTGCAAGAAAGGGGATTATATTTTTGTGCGAATCGTTTTAAATTACAATTCTTTCCATTGCCACTTTTTGATAACGTCAACAACAAAAACAGTAAATTAAAGCTTTTAATTTTATAATTGTATATTAGGTGCAAACGAACGTGATCGGGTTCGAAATAAATATAGCTTCGATGATTTTCAACATAACTCTTATGATTTCCATTTCTGAGTTTGTTATTTTGCTCAATTTTAAAAAGGTTGTAAAAAAATGTGGTACTGTCTTTTATTTAGATTATTTACAGAAATTAGCAACCGAAAAATAGTGATTTTCTTTATCAATACACATCAGGATCCTTTTGTTCGAATCTCTCCATCAATTTCGTGATAGTCCCTTCTTCAATGACTTAAATTATTCTCGATTGGCTCTTTTTAAAGGTTCGGGGTTTGATTTCAGGTATCCCCAAAAGAAAAGGTCACATACTGAAAGATCTGGTGAGCTGTGGCGCTTTTGTGTGAGATAAGGTGACCGCGAAACATTTGTTTTATGACTTCCATTGAGCCATTTATGTTTTTTTTACCAACCCTGCATTCCTAAATGTAACCCATCGTATTATGGATCTGCGATCACGAATTGGTCCGTAACGTGCTACATGAAACTGTTATCTGTTCAATATTCTTTGGTTTTGAACAGTTACCACGTCATTCAATAATTTAAATCCTGAATATCTAGTGTTAGAAATGAACTCTGATACATTAATCTGCTGCCGAAACATCCGCTACATGGTAGTTAAAGAGACATTGTGTAAAAAAAAAAAAAAAAAAAACAGTTCCACAGCAAAAATGTGATGATCAACCGTCCACTGCACTATCCTTTGACAAACTGGGCACTAAAGCCGATGTACTGACGGCCTGGGAAACCCCTCACACCCTCACACAGGACCCACTCCCTCCTATGCAATTCAAAATCCGAGCATGCTTTTTGGACCACCCAGTACTTACTAGTGTGTGCGTGAATAACCAAGTTTAGAAAAAAAAATTTAAAAGTTAGCTTGTAAATTATAGTTGTCTAATATAATTGATTCTTTCTAAGTACATTTTATGGGTGACCGAGTTGTTACGATTGTCCCATTGATATTTTGAGGTAAAATATATTTTGGGTGGGTTATATATTTTGGGGTTTTGAGGTTTGGTTTTGAGGTGGTTGGTTTTGAGGTTGGTGTTTTGAGGTTTGGGGGTTCGACTCCAACCGGGGTAGAATTTGGATTTGTTATTTTAAAATAAGTTATTTATAAAAACATGTAAAAGGTTGACGTTAGAAACAAACCCGGGGTTTGGATCATTCCCATAAAAGCGTCACATAGCGTTTTAAAAAACAAAATTGAAAAGAATAAACTATTATGTAACCTTCATAAAACGATGGATCTTGCAAATAATATTTTCAATCTTCTGAAATAGCAAAAGCGTTACTTATAAGTTGTTATTTGTGTTCACTGATCCATCCTTGAAGTACTTTTATCTTGTTTTACTCTTAACACTTATATTTTTAATAAGAAAAGAACCATTGTGTACTGATAACTCCTTAAAAATGACAAATTACATTGGTAAAGTGTAGCTTCAAGTTACTTCAGCTCATTAAAACGCTGAGGTTTTGTCAAATCAGCCTTTCACCACCTGACTCTGCTTGTCAACAAACAACTTCAGTGTTTACCACCAAACGTTGACTGCGAGTTGAACAAACTGTTTTCGTTGTATTTGAGGGGAAATTATATTTTGTCAACAACTGATAACAAATATGTTTACCCTTCAGGTTTTTATTGCCATTTACTTTGGTACTATACCGACCACACCTTATAATTCTAACCTAACCTATGGGTGGACCGTGTTTTAGGTAAGGTTAGGGAAGATTGATATAAACTAATTAAAATCTTATTTGAAAGTCAATTAATTGGTTTGGTCGGTATAATAATAACGTACCCCCGTTTTGTCTCGGCCAATACTTAAGTTAGCATGTCTTTAGAGTTTGAAGAAAATAAGAAAAAAATTAAGTATTAAGGTGTACTAGCTATCAGGGTTTTCTTTAAGTGGATCTTTAAAACATAGACCTAAATACATAGTGGTAATTTATATTATGTGTAGTAGCTTATGAAGGTCTACAGATTAAGTAAATAAAGTATTTGACAATTAATGTTGAATTCTAATGCTTATGTTAGAACTTTTAACTATATCATTACTTTCATTTCATTGGCAGTGATAAAATAATAATATTTGACTAATTCGTTAAATTAAGTTTTTTTTAGTTATTAGAACATGGGTTGAATAAAATGATAATTAGCTTACACAAGATAGTATTATGAAAACTTCAGTTTAAAAATACCTTCAGTTTATGATAAAATAAATGTTTAAAATGTCAACTGGGCAATAGGGTTTACTCCTAATACTTATCTTGCAAATTTGGCGCTTAGTTTATAAACGCTATTGCAAACCTAAGGATGGAGGGATGGTGGAGGGCGTATAACAGCCTACGTTAGCATAAATCTTAATTAATAACCCTTAGGAACAGAGCGCTTACTTAATACTATCGTGAATTTAACAGTTTAATTATAACAAATTACGTGAGACAGTTTTGTAGATCAAAATACAAAGATAATTATTTCACCATTTTAATCACCATTCATGTAATCTTTATTCTATATATGAATAACAGAGTAATGAGTAATATTAATTATGCAGAAATAAAAATTACCCTTTGTATACATATTATAGTCCAACATCTGTAACACGATGTTGTTTTATTAAAATGAGAATAATATAAATTATTCTTTAATATAACACATCCAAATAATTATCCTGTATAAATGTTTTAAACCAATGGTTTGTTTTTATATTGTTACCAACTCACTAATGTAAATATTTTTAAATACATTCCAATTAACTATATGTCTTTTTCACTGACCAAAGATATTACAATACATATACAGGGTGGCTAAAAAGTAAAAGTTAAGAGGGTTGAACTTTTCAACTATTTGAGATATTTGAAATCGGTTTGCCGCAACCTTCTTAGAAATGAGGGACAACAATAATTATGGTTAATTTTGAAAATCTTTAGCTACCAACTAAGGGTAACATTTTCAAAATTAACCATAATTATTGTAGCTTCTCATTTCTAAGAAGGTTGCCGCAAACTGATTTCAAATATCTCAAGAGGTTCAAAAGTCAAGGGGGGATGCAATTTACTTTTCAGCCACCCTGTATACATCTGCCATATGTTTTGAGCTTGTTCATAATAGATTCGATATTGTTACTGCCTGTTATTATTGTCTGTATTTTATTGTCTTTTAATTATTGGATGTTATTTATCACCTTTTATTTGTTATTTATTGCCTATTACGATTTTCTTGTATTGCCTGTTATTTTACTAAGTATAATTTTTCTTGTATGGAATGAATACATTACTTTAGTCAAGTGCCAATTTGTATTTATTATATAATTGTATTAAGTTACTGTTTTTGTATACTAGACCATCTCGGAATTGTATAATGATATTTTTAAACAGAATTAACACACAATAAAGTAACATAAAATTTCTCTTCGACACAAATTATTATTATCTGAAAAGAAAAAAACACTACAAAGAACTGAAAAAGGTACTTGCGAAACAAAACAAAAAATACTACATCATTCAAATGTTACTATTTTGACATCAGATTTAAATTCTAAAAAACCATGTCGTTAAAATGTTTGGCTGTCCATCTGCAGGTTTGACAAATCGTCCTCAAAGTTAACTGAGTACAATCCAGTTTAACGATTCAATGTTAACATAGAAAGCTGTGTTTATTTTCGAGTCTTTGATATCATTGTTTGAAAGTACTTCTGGTACTCGTTTGGAACCAGTCGTGAAGAACGCCAATCAAAACCTGTATCCGAGAATTTCCCATATTGGACAGAGAGAGCATTTTGCTAGAGAGTTTGTCGAAAAAATTAAAGAATGGTGGTTAGGTCTTAAAATGGTTCAAATATATGGTTGAGGAACGATGTTGACAGGTTTGTAATTCGTCATCCATTTGTTTATACGTGTATACTGTCACACAAATCATAGAATGGAACTACTAAATAAAAACAAGCAACAATTGATTAAGTAAGAATAGAACAGTTGAAGTACTTGTGCCACTATTGAATTTCTTTAAAAAATATCAATAAAGAAAATTGATTGATTAATGGTTGTAACTTTTGTATTGAAACCTGAGAACTTGCTACTCAAGTCTTTAATGGATAGTATCATATCTCCGTGTTACTTATGTCAAAGGTTATTCAAAAAAATAAAGTTTTTAAACAACGTTACGGTAGGGCTCTGGAAGATAGAGTTGTATAAAATATAACAAGCTATAATATAGGCCCCTAACACCTATTTTGTTCATTTTTTTTTTTACGCTAAGCAGTGAAATCAATGTTATTTAACTATAAATTTATGCTATTTGTAACTATTTAAAGCAAACTTTGCAGCACCGGCTCCTTAGAGGCCTTAAAAAATTAAAAACTAATTTAATTGAGATTTTTTAATCAAAATTTGATTTTATGACACATAAAAATGGAAATGCATGC